TAAACAAAACATAAACAACAAAAACCTAAAGAAAATAATAAAAACAAACGAGGGTGAGTGAAGAGAGAAGGAAGGTTGAGCGAAGAGAGGAAGTGGAGAAGAGCGAGAGATGGGCGGAAAGAGAGAGAGAGAAGATAAAACAGTGAACAAGATAATACGCGTGTGTTTTAAACATAAACAACAAAAAAAATAAAGAAAATATTTAAAAAACGAGGAGTGAGTGGAAGAGAGAGAGGAAGGGCAGCGAAGAGAGGAAGTGGAGAAAGAGCGAGAGAGTGGGCGGAAAGAGAGAGAGAGATAATACGCGTGTGTTTTAAACATAAACAACAAAAAAAAACTAAAGAAAATATTTAAAAAACGAGGGAGTGGAGCTATAGCGTGTTCGTCACGTCACAGCTTCGTTCTAACGGCTTCATAACCCTTTAAAAAGGATCTTGTTTCAGGCTTCCATCTTATCATTAGTCTGTCAGTCTGATCGTCTTGTCAGAAGGAGTCTCGAATATTATTTTTTTTTTTTCTTTTCGTGAATAGTTATGTGCGGTTCGGAGGGAAAATGCGTCTTGTTATTCTTTTGTTTTTTAGAGGTGTGTTTTCACGAGACTTTGAGGTATTTGTGTATTATCTTATTCGGAATATTATGTTTCTTTGGTATTAAGATATTATTTTAATGATACCGTCTCCAAAGTTCTTTTTTTTTTAATAATATTAGAGCATTCACATCCTCCGAAAGGTACTGTAAACACTGCTTATAAACAAAAAGTGTGATACATGTCGCCCATCAAAAAAAAAAAAAAAAAAAAAAAAAAAAAAAATCGACTGTCACTCACACATCAAACTATATACATTTCCTCCAAGAATCAGCTTTGTGCGTGTCCATACAGCTTAATTAAAAAAGCGGCCATGTCACGCTCCTTTCCCGCGCCTTCCCGTAGTTCCCGAGGCGGCCGCGAGATGGCGTGAGCGAGCGACACGGCAGTCACGTGACGGTCGACTCGCCTGATTACGCTGAGGTCGATGTGATTTACTGTTGCTTTTCGGAGAGAAGAGAGAAGCAGGGAAGGAAAGAAATGGGAAGATAAGGGAGAGAAAATAATGGAGAATTCGTCTTTCAGCCTTCACGACTCGTCAACGGAGGGCGGGTCTTAAAATAAACCAATTAGAGGAGGTAAGCCAGGAGTTAGTTGTCTGTCGCGGCTAGAAAAGTCTCCTAAATATAGCCGAGCCAGATGCAGTCAGCTGGGCGTGACGTCATCGATACGCTCCTATCAGTCACCGGCCGTCACGCAAAGTTCGGGGTGTGACGTCACAGTTTACGTCACAGTTCAAGTTGCCATAATAGCCCCGTTGTTGGGGCTGAACAGCGGGCAGCGGAGGGGGTTATAATGACCACGGGGGGGCGAGGGGGGGGGGGGGAGCAAGAAATGTTCGCAGCAAGAAGCACAAGGGTCATGGAAGGCATGCGGGGGGCGGGGAGCGACGGCATGGCGGGCGGGGAACGGGGCCGCCCGGTTTGCAGGGCTGGTTTATGATGACAGTAATGGCGATCGCGGTGACAATCATACTCTGTGATGATGGACAAGAATAGTAGCCGTAAGCACCGCCCACCGCCAGCCCACCACCCCTAGGCCCCAACACCACCCTACCGCCACCGCCGCCCACCGCCGCCGCCCACCTCCCACCGCCTCCACCAACCCCCCCCCCACCACCCACCGCCGCCCACGCCGCCACCGCCGCCCACCTCCCACCGCTCTCCACCACCCACCTCCTCCGCCCACCGTGTCTGAAGGAAAGCCATAGAAGCCTTCCGTTTTCTATGAATCCCATATTTTCACGGGGGACTTACTCATTCCACGCCCATTTCCCTCGCCCGTATTAAACCCTATTTGGCACCTAAGCGGCTTATGGGCGTCCCGTGGGAATGTGTCGAAGCCGATGAGGCGGGCGACCGCACGCACACACACACAAAAAAAAACACACACATACACAAACTTAAACATGAATACACTATGGTATGTACACACCGGACACCCATACGAGTAAAGAAATATATCCGGTCATTGTATTTTAGGAAAAAAAAATGTCAGCAACCGGATCTAAAATTTTAACAACCGGCTCGCTGAATCCAAAATTCCGGAGGATGTAAATATAAATATGTAACATTATTTTTTGTGGTTAAATGACAGAATCAGTTGATGCTTTAGATGCTGGCTTGTATTTGTTTAATGTTTACATGAACTGATAAATTAAGAGGTATATGAATAGAGAAAGAGGGAGGGATTGAGGGAAGAGAGAGAGAGAGAGGGGGAGGAGGGGAGGAGGGAAGAGAGAGAGAGAAGAGAGAGAGAGGAGAGAGAGAGAGAGCGAGAGAGAGAGAGAGAGAGAGAGAGAGAGAGAGAGAGAGAGAGAGAGAGAGAGAGAAGAGAGGGAGGGAGGGAGGGAGGGAGGGGGGAGGGGAAGGGAGGGAGGGAGGGAGGAGAGAAGGGAGAGAGAGAGATTAGAA